AGAAAAATCCTAAAGATGCCACAAATAAATTGTTAGAAATAATAAATGAATTCAGTGAAGTTACAGGATACAAAATAAATACAAAAAAAGAAAATCAGTTACATTTCTATACACTAACAACAAACTATCCAAAAATATTTTTTAAATGATCCCATTTATAATAGCATCAAAAATAATAAAATACTTAAGGATAAAGTTAAGGATCTTTACACCGAAAATTATAGGACAATGATGAAAAAACTTGAAGAAGACACAAATAAATAGCAATATTTCTCTTGTCCATGAACTGGAAAAATTAACAATGTTAAAATGTGCATTCAATGCAATCTCTATCAAAATCCCAAAGGCATTTTTCACAGAAATAGAAAAAAACAGTCCTAAAATTTGTATGAAACCACAGAAGACCCCAAGCAGCCAAAGCAATCCTGAGAAAGAACAACAAAGCTAGAGGCATAACATTTTCTAATTTCAAAATATATTCCAAAGCTATAGTAATCGAAACAGCCTAAAAACAGAACTATATAGAAAGACAATAGAATTGAGAGCCCAGAAATTAACTTTTGCATGTATGATCAACTAATCCTTGATAAGGACACCAACAATACACAATGGGTAAAGGATAGTCTCTTCAAATAATGGTTTTAGGAAAACTGGATAGCTACCTGCAAAAGAATAAAATTGCACCCTTATACTACTCACAAAAAAATTGAATTAAAGACTTAAATCTAACACCTAAAACCATGAAACTCCTAAAACATAGGGAAGAAGCTCCTTGACATTAGTCTTTGCAATGATTCTTTTAGATATGATACCAAGTGTAACTAAAATAAACAAGCAGGACTACATCAAACTGAAGAGTTTCTGTTCAGCAAAAGAAACAATAAAAAAAATGAAAAGGCAACCCATGGAATGGGAGAAAATATGTGCAAACCATCTATCTGATAAGGGGATAATATAAAAAATATATGAGGAACTCATACAACTCAATAGAAGAAAAAAAACTAAAAAATGGGCAGAGGACCTGAATAAATATTTTTCCAAAGAAGATATACAAATGGTCAACAGGTACATGAAAAGGTGCTCAATCATCATCAGGGAAATGCAAATCAAAAACACAATGAGATATCACCTCACATCTGTTAGAATGGTTAACATCAAAAAGACAAGAGATAACAAATGTTGGTAAGAATGTAGATAAAAGGGAACTATTGTGCACTGTTGGTGGGGGTGTAAATTGGTACAGCCACTATGGAAAACAGTATGGAAATTCCTCAAAAATTAAAAATAGAACTACCATATCCAGCAGTTCCACTTCTGGGTATATATCTGAAGGAAATGAATTATTATCTTGAAGAGACATCTGTACTCCCCTGTCACTGTAGCATTATTCACAGTAGTAAAGATATAGGATAACATTAAGTATCCATTAATGGATGAATGGATAAAGAAGTTGTGGTGTGTGTGAATAACAACGGAATATTATTCCACCATTTAAAAAAAATCCTGCCATTTGTGACAACATGGATGGATCTTGAAGGCATTATACTAAGTGAAATAGGTTAGACAGAGAAAGATAAATATTGTATGTTCTCACTTGTATGTAACAGCTGAAATGATTGAGATATAGTAAAATGGTGGTTGCCTGGGACTAGGAAATAGAAGAAATAGAAAGAAATTGGGTAAAAGGTATAAACCTTCTACTAGAAAATGAATAAATTCTGGAGATCATATATACTGCATGGTGGTGACTATAGTTAAAAATACTATGTTATTACTTCAAGGTAATAGGTCTTAACCTTTAAGAGTAGGTATTAACTGTTATCGCCACACACACACAAAAATGGTAACTATGCAAGGTGATGGCATCATTTATTATGACCTCATTGTGGCAATAATTTATAATACATACATACGTCAATTATATCTCAAAAAGTAGAAAACATATTTTAAATTACTTGTATTCTTAAATTTCAATTAATTTCAGTAGAGTTTGTTTTAAAGAGAGGTGTATTTAAAATTTTCTGTATATTTAAATGAGGATTTTTTAAAGTTAAATTCTTGAAATTTCTTCTATCTAGTTTTTAAAATATTCTCATACAATAACTGTCAATTTTAAATTCCAGAAAATAATGTAGTCCCTCATGTAAACCTTAAAAAGTTGGCATTTAGTGAGAAGACTTACTCAACAAGAGAATGTGAATTTGTCAGTAAAACCTGCTGCTGTTTTAAAAGGACATATACATATTCTTCTCACTGAGAACTAAATTAGTAAGTAAATCTTTATTCATAGGTAAAGATTAATGATTTAATCCTGGGAAGAAAATCCTAGCATTAACCATTTTGTTGCTTTATACTATAAGCATTTATTAATATGCTACTATATGCCAGATTCTGTGGTTGAAGACCTAATAAAATAAAAGTAAATAAGTCTTGCTCTCATGGAGTTCAGAATCTACTATTGGGAGTTCTTGATTGAAGCCATAAGTGAGCTTTTGTAGATTAATAAACCATCTAAAATTGCATACACAGGTTTTTGTTATGAGCATACATGCAAAATTTTCTCCCTAAGTAAAGAGCCCCTAGCTTTCATTTTATCTTCAAAAGGGTCAGTGATAGTGAACCAATAAATATCAACAACTGGAAGGAGCAAAAGAGACAAACAGATTAGCTTATAATTGAAAGATAGTGAATAATGTTCCAATGACAACTCTGACCACCCCCTCCAACACACACACCAAAAAAGAAAAAAAAAAAAAAGGAAAACACTAATTCTGCCTGGGAAACTCAAAAGATTATTCACACGAGAATAAAAATGGCAAGCAGACTTTGCAAAAGTGGTTGTGTAACTTAAGAGAGCTATTATAGATATTATTGTAAGTACCACCCACATTGGATAAGTTGGATCCGGTATGCATATGTGACACTGAAAACCTATAACCAATGATGGCACAAGTCCTACAAATTTAAGCACTTTTAAGTAGAACATAATATTGCAGTCTGAAAACAATGTTCTAAATTTCTAGAACCAACTTTTTCTGTTAAAAAAAAGTAAAATATTTAGGCAAATATCTTCTCAAGAGTTACCAACTTAAACTTACTAAAGTCAATAGATAAAAAAGTATCAAACTAAAAAATATGAGCAAGTTACAATAAAAGGACTTAGTAATTTATTGGCCTATCTGATTAAAAATAACTTTTTCTTATAAGAAGGAAAATTTTTAAGGAAAATTACCTGTTCAAAAAAGTTTTCAAATATTAAAGAAAAAACAAATGGTGTTGGAAGGCAAAAAATATTACTCATTTCTCAACAGGAAAGTTACCTTGCAGTGCAGTATATATATAGGATATATTAGTCTGAAATTTCAGGCAACACCTGAATAAACATCATCACTAACCCGATAAATGTTTTCCTTTGACATAGAAAATAATTTGCTCTAGTAAATGACTATGAGGAAGTATAAATATAATTATAAAATCTTATGAAATAAAAAGAACATCTTTAAATACTAGAAGACTAGTAAATACATCTTCTATGATAAATGTATCACAAAATAAAAGGATAACATTAGATTTACTGACGTTATTATTTGTAAATACCATTAAAATCAGTTTTAAAAAGTAGGGGAGAAGGGTTCAGCTAATGATTTAATATGATAATATGATCAGACTATGAACAGCTATACCACCTAACTTATGAAGACTGATAGCTTACTGATCAAGACTTGCTTCAAGACACTCCCTCGCTGCGCCCAATAACTCAAAGTAAACAAGTCATAAACTTTGCCCATTCCCAACCAAAACCCCATTTGTAAGACCTGTCTTACATCACACAGCCCAGGTCCTAAAACATCATACGTCCCTTGACTTGCACCTTCAGAAAAACTATTAAGACCGTCTAGCAGATTCTCCCTTTCTGAAGTAAATAAAATTAGCATTGCTTAATCAGTAGGAATTAGCAGTGGTCTTTTGGGGGAATCAACAACCCACAAGTAAAATAACAACTCCTTTATCATTCATTTTATTTTCTTTTTCTTTTTTTCCAGATGTTATATTATGAATATGCTCTGGCAGAATGCTGAAGAATTATTTAGATTATGACATTTTAAATAAGTAGAAAGCATACATTCAAGAAAAATGAACTCGTCATTAACTAACCCAAAAAACAATATTCACTGTGGTTTGCACTGAGTATTAATTCTTAAATTACTTGCTATAGGCCACTATAAAATATTTCTTTTAATAGTTAGTAGAGTGGGAATGGGGGACTTATCCATCCTAGATGAGGAATTGAGGCTAATTGTGAACACAGACTTAAAACCTGCAGATTTACTTAAGCCTCCTTATAATCAGAAGGCCCAGAGCTTAAAAGAGTCCTTTATTTATTATAAATCTAAACTACAGCATCTATACTTACTAAAAGAAGTTAAAAGATCAATACATGATTTTACTGGACTAACACTCTACCTTCTGAGCTAATAAATTCATAATTGCAATAAATATTTAAAATTTTCCATTTGTGTATGTAAACAACTAGTTTTTAAAGTTGCAGGGATGTAAAAAAATATATATATATCAATGCTGTAGTGGACATTTATAGATAAATTGATAAATTAAATAATTCATAAATCAATCTTTAAAAAAATGTCAGAATGTATTAAAAAATGCCTTTCTGGGGCACCTGGGTGGCTCAGTCAGTTAAGTGTCAGACTCATGATTTCAGCCCAGGTCTTGATCTCAGGGAGATCAAGCCCCAATTCAGGATCACGCTGAGTGTGGAGCCTGCTTAAGATTCTCTCTCCCTCTCCCTCTGCCCCTCCCCACCAGCTCATGCTCTCTCTTGCTCAATAAATAAATAAATAAATTTTTTAAAAATGCCTTCCATAACCAAAAGGTTTTGATTAGTCAAATATGAATAAAACACGTAGACTATAAAAAATGTAGACATTTTCAGTACTTTCTGGAAATTATTCTATTCTTTTGTTACTGATAAAAGAGATATATTATTGACAAACCTCATATGTTGCTGGACCAGGAGTAATCTCTTTGGAATCTTTAAAACGCTTTGATGCTTTAACAAATAAGGGTATGGAGCAAGATTTCCTTAAAACAGGGTCATATGTTGCAGGCCCTAAAAGAAAACAAATGTAGAAAATAATAAAGTATGTTAAAATTATTGATTTGGGTCACATTATTATTCTTAGATTTGTGCTCTTAATGTATAATTTTAGCATCAAACAATCTTGGACCCATTTTTTTTGAATGCTTAAAATCATTCAGGTTAGGGTTTTGAAATATAATAAGCACAAAAAAGTGATATTTGTCTATCTAATAATTAAATGTAATACAGAAGTATTTTCCCAAAAAAGAAAACAGTACCCTCCCAAGATACATATAGATCATGAAAAAAGACACCCAAGTTTTTTATTTCCTAAAAAGGCATTCATAAATTCAGCAAAGATTAGTGCTTGAAATGCATTCGGAAATATGAATAAGACTTAAAGAAGCAAAAAAGTAGTTGAATAGCATTCTGGGTGCTAAACATGATAGAAGCCAAGGTAGAAAGATAGAATTCACATGGAACGATTGGATGTAATGAACAAACTGGTTGAATGGACTAGGACCTAACCCTAAATAAGGATTTTGTATTAGAGCCAATAGATTTCAAATTGTATTCTAAAGTGTCCTGAATTCCACAGAAGTGCCTAGGGAAAAATGTATAGGTAAAGCCCAAATAGGAGCCTGAATTATTTTCATTCAAAACAGCTTTAGATTTACTCTTCTTTGTTTGGGTCCTATATACATTTTTTTAACTAAAATTGTCTAATAATTTTTTAAAGCTTTTGGAGGGGCACCTGAGTGGCTCAGTCAGTTAAGCATCCGACTCTTGGTTTTGGCTCAGGTCATGATCTCATGGGTCCTGGGATAGAGTCCAGCAGGGGCAGGTAGTCTGCTTGAGATTCTCTCCCTCCGCCCCTCCCCCCACTCTTGCACACATGTGCACTCTCTCTAAAATAAATAAATCTTTAAAAATAAATAAATAAATAAATAAATAAATAAATAAATAAATAACAAAAAAGCTTTTGGAAACTAATTCCACAGGTAGTGGGTAGCTCCTGAAGGTTTTACACTAAAGGAGATTCATAAAGAAAGAGGTAGTTTATGAAATAAACTTTGGCAGTACATTATAGGATGGGATGACTTGATGGTTTATTTTAGGGACACTAATAAGGAGTTTACTAACATTGCTAAGGGAAAGGAAGAACAACTCAGAATATTTTCTAAGAGATGAAATAAATATTTAATATGTATAGTGACTGGAAGAAAATAAAAATAAATAATGGCCAATAAAAAGGCAACACTGTGACAAAAATAAGAAAACACAGAAGAGATATCATTGAAGAGGAACATCGTGTGTTTGGTTTTGAACCAGTTTTTGTCTGAAAAGATGGCAGCATATCCAAATAGAAATGTTCAGAAGACAACTGGAAATACATAACTGAAGCTCATGAGAAAGTTGTTCTGGGGAAAAGGAAAGGAGTTATTCACATAAAGGTGATAGTTGAAGTTTCTTTAAGCAAAAGAACATGGACAGAGAAAATTTAATAACTGAGGGCTGAAACTTGGTGGTGCTGCACATAGGAAGGGAGAGGGAAAGTCAAAGGAAATAGTCTAGTGAGTAGAATACCGCTAGTACAACATCAAAGAGAGAAAACAGGCAGAGTGTTTTTTCTTTTCTCCATTCACATGTTAACCAATACTTATTGAGTATCTGTCACAAGCCTGTATTTCCAGAGAGTGCTTAGAGGTCTTACTATATCAAATGTTGCAAGAGGAGACATCACAGACAGGTCACCGTGGAGTGTGTAGAACAGTGATGATGAATGAAACTAAATTAGAGGGAGAAAGGAGAGAGAGCGTGGAGAGAAGTGTGGAGAGAGGAAGGAACAACATGAGCACAGAATATTGACAATGGACATAAACAGTGAAATAGTAGATATAAAGATGTAAGCAGAATACAAAAATTATACCTCCATCTCCCTAGTATACATGCAATTAAAAACTACCACTTTGAAGAATAGATCCCTGAAGATGTTTTCAAAACTAAAATATATTAGAATTGATAAATTCACATGAAACATTTTTAAGGCTTTAGCTTCATTAACATAAGATACTTCAAATTTTACAATAAAAGATGAGATTTGGCTCTATTTCAATCCTTCTAACGTCAATTCAATTAATAGGATAGATATACAAAATTACAAAGTCCTTGTGGGAAGCTGCTATGAACTGAATGTTTGTGCCCCCCCCCCGCCACCAAATTCATATATTAAAACCCTAATCACCAATGTGATCATCATATTTGGAGATGAGGGCTTCAGAAGGTAATGGGGGTGGGGGTACGTAGGTGGCTCAGTCCATTAAGACAGCTGCCTTTGGCTCAGGTCATGATCCCAAAGTCCTGGGATCAAGCCCTGCATCAGGCTCCCTGCTCAGTGGGGAGCCCGCTTCTCCCTCTGCCCCTCCCCTCTCTGTTCTCTTTCTGGTTCTCTCTCAAATAAATAAAATCTTAAAAAAAAAAAAGAAGGTAATTAGGTCAAAGAGTGGAGCCCCTCGTGATGGGATTATCGCCCTTACAAAAAGAGACATGAGAGAATATATTTTCATTCTCATTCTTTCTCTGCTGTGTATACAAATGTCTATCTGCAAGTCAGGAGGAAGGCCCTTCCTAATTCAAATGTCACTTTGGACATCTTGACTTTGGATTTACCAGACTTCAGTAACTGTGAGAAATAAACTTACACTATTTAAGCTACCCTGTCTACAGCATTTTTGTTATAGCAGTCAGAATGGACTAAGAAGCTCAAGTGTCTTGATCTGCTAAAAGACAAAGTGTTGTAGCAAATGCCATCTTGCATGCATGATTTTGGAATAATATAATTTCCATTCATAGTGCAGAGAAACAATGTACATATACGTACATATCTTTACAAAGAGATATATACAAACTAAACTACACATGGGAAAATGTATCAGTTACTGCAGTATGCAGAAAAGAACACAAACTTATCATCAGGAACTGGATGCATGATTCCACAGTCAATTAATTAAAAATTGTGACTTTAACCATAAAGATGTATAAAGGTTAATGCAACAGGTAAGGCTATTAACCAAACACTGTTATATCAGTAAATTTCATTTTCAACTATGAAATGAAATACAGTCTATTCCCTGTCCTTACTATCATGCTACAGCAACTGATAAATATTTACCTTCATGATTATAACTCATTAAAAGAAAAGAAAATATTCAAATGTAGTTTTAGTGGATTTCCTTTTATTGGAATTCCTTTGAGGAGCATTAAGTAAAGCAAAACTCTCAATATGTATCTTGTTTCATGTTAGTACTTAGTTTACTTTAGGCTACGGAGCATTAAAAAAAGTTTATTGTACTTGATCTTAAAACATATTTCCAATTACATATGTTACTGCTTATATAATACAGGTCAAAAATTTACATTGCTTCACCAGCTGTGATTCATGGATAGATTATGCAGAAATTATCTTCTATTTATTTACCAAAATGCTACATTTTAATCACAGGTCATGGAAGAAGAAAACTTCTCATTCCAAATCAAACGCCTATGGAAAGTCTGCCTGAATCACGACTATTATATAATGGGAATTCAAGAGCAGGTGATTCTTATAATTACATATTTTCCAGCCTATGCCAACCAACTCCCTATGAAATGTCAACCAATGCTCTAGGGCAAAAATAGGAGAGAACAGAAACAATGAATAATTTAAAATAAAAATCATGTTGGTACAGTAGAGTGGACTCAGAAATAACTATTTCTATAAATAAAGCTACAAAACCTCAGATTAAAAAATGGCTGTCTTCATAACAAGCTTAAATTTATAAATTACGTAGTGAATTTTGCTTATGAATACCAAATCATTTTTTTTCATGTGAAGCTGAAAGAAAACTACTGAAAAGTAAATATCCCACGTGTGAGCATATCTTTAGGAATTAAAAAGCATCTAGGAAATTGTTCATTAAAATGGACCACATGGCTTTAAAATGTCATTTAGAGAGTTGAGTTTTTATGGAACACATTTTCTCATGCTGATTTTATTCTTCAGCTCTACGAATGAAATAATAGCTAAGACAAAACATTAGTACACAAGGAACTATTATCATCAATGTCAAAGCCACATTTAGGTTTAATGCTCTTCTCCTGCTTCTAAGACGTGAGGTAATGAAATGGCACTTCAGATTATGACCAAACAACTGTAGACTATTAAATTGAGCCTATAGGTGATGAGAAAAAACAGAGTCTCAATAATGCATAAACTTTTAACCAAAATTCCATGTATGTTTTACCATCCTGTTAACGTTTCTGATCAAAAACAAAATGGGAATTACATGTTTTAAGAAATAAGATCTTAAATACTTGAGATTGATATCTTAAAATTACTATAGAGTATCTAAGAATTATTGCCAACTCAGTCCCTAAGACATGGTCTATTATAATGCACTCCAACCTAAGTAGACTGAGAATTGCATCAGTTGGAGTCTACCTAAATCATCCACCTGTTAAAACATGTGTTCCTAGCATTGAGTAAGGAATAGGGCCATCACTGTTATGACGTGGAAATACAAAATCAGATAGATTTGGCTTGACTAAAATATATCTTCAGATAGCAACGTCTGTTTATCCATGTACTTCTAAATACATTCTTATGAAATTCTTACCAAAATGTGCATCCGTAAGTCCTATCAAATGAAGTCTTTGAACTGATCCTGCTCTGATAAGTACATTATGCAAATTTGAATGACTTTCATTAGTCTTGTAAATCGAGAGGTATAATACACTTTCTGTATGAATTTAGGAACAAACTGGAAGGAAGGATGATCATCTTTCAGCCACTACTACTTTGAGTAGGTAGTATATAAATATGTAACACATGAGTGATTTTTATTGATGAATGAACAAAGTAATCAAATAATCAATGAAATATGAAGTTGTTTTCAAGGTAAGTAAAATACCTCACAACTGGCCTGGCAGAGTTGCAAATTTTCCTTTCATAACTGAATTTTGGTTTTTACATCCCGCTGTTCCTATTTAAA